AAGCCAAAAAGCTCTCCATCTTCACAGGCCCAGCACTGCAGGCCTTCCCAGGCGAAACCTGTCTTTGATGAAGTAGCCAGTTAGACTTCTGATAGTATAGGAAATTTAAACCAATCAATTAGACTTACAGAGTAGTCTGAGGCCAAGTATGATAGTCACATTTTTTTAAAGGCATAAGCTTGAGGCTAGCGAGACAGTACTGAAGATAAAAGCACAACCTGCTCTTCCAGAAGACCTGAGTTATGTTCCCAGGACCCACATCACAACTGCCTGTAACTCTAGCTCCAAGGGATCTGATACCCTCTTCTGCCTTCTTCCAGAACATGCACATACATGGCATACAATCACATGGACATGCATGTACGCATGCATACATGCACAGGAGAAAGCTGAAGGACTCAAGACAAACACTGAGGCTTCTGGAGACTTGTTCTTAGCCAGAAAGGAATGATGGGAGAAGGAACAGAGTCAGGGAGGAAGAGAGGGAGGAAGAGAAGAAGGAAGGAAGGGAGGAAGAAAGGGAGAGAGGGAGGGAGGAAAAGAAGAGAAAAGCTATGATTGTTTTACTTTTGTTTGATTTTTAGAGATTTGGAAAACAAACAAACAAAAAAACACTTGCATCAGTTTGAGCCACTTGCTAACAGCCAGCTATTGAGACGATAATGTTGTGAAACAAACAAAGCTCAGCAGCATTCTACAAGAACCATTCATTTCTTGCTAACATATGTACAATAACAGGGGTACCTGTTTCATGTGTCACAGCTCAGGGCATACAGTGCCACTCAGGCTGTTCAAAAAGTAGCAACTGGCCAGGGTATGAAAGGGTAGAAACAGGAAAGCTCAAGCCCATAAGCAAGTAACATCTGCCCTCATCGCACACACTAGTATTCCACTGGTCCAAGCAAGTCACGTGACCAATGACTCAAAAGGTACGTATTGCTCACCCAGATGTTGCCATGTGCTGAGCGCCTTTGGTTCCGGAAACCTGACTGGGATGATAAGAGAATGAAGAAAGTCTACACAGGCACAGGCACGGAAAATCTGGGATTGGGTAGGCCGGACCATGCACTCTGACGGAGCTGTATCAACAACACAAGCAGCCCAGCAACTCGGCCCTCATTTTATACACCTGAATCAAGGAGGAAGGTAGACTGTATACACAGTAGAGGTAGGTTTAATTAGTCTCAGCAGAAGGTCTCCGTAGGGAAGCATTCTCAGGCTGCAGCCACCATAGCTGTGGTAGACAGTTTTTATATACACTGGTCAATCATTCATGAACAATCACACTTGGGCACAGGATTATGTAACAAAACTTTTCCTGGGGAGAAGATACTACACACATTTCTATTCACCCTAGACATGGAGCCCGCGACAGACCAAAGTACAGATACCACCGATGTCCAGTTTGGTAAACTGTCATGCCCAAGTCTCGTGAACCCCAAAGACCATCAAGGAGCCAATTCCAATGCAAACGAAGTAGGGTCTTTATTACAAGCATGAGCTCAGGCCCACACTGTCACCGATGCAGCAGTTCTCAAGTGTAGACCCTGAGCTCAGGGAGAGAAGAGTTTTTATTTAGAGTTACAGCAAGGTTTGGGAAATTCCAGCTTAGCAGTTCTATGATTGATTGACATTTAGCAAATATTGGGTGTCCGGAGGAAACTGTCTGCCTGGAGGGCCAAACCGTAACTGTTTGTCCAGAGGGCCAAACTGTAATTGTTTTACTCATCCTATTGTGAAGAACGCCTGGGTAAACAGCAAGTGTTCACTGATCAGCCATCGCTAGGGGTGATGGTTAAATATTACCAGAGGTAAGTGGTTTGAAGCATCCTTTTGGGGGATTTTTCTCCTTTTTGAAACTGGAATTCATACTCAGGTCATTTACCCTTAAGATGGAGTTTCTTTTTCGGAAATGGGGTTACACAAGCCTCACAATGCCTATGACTGTTACCAGGGTTATTACAGGAATATGGGTGAAGGGTTACTTACAGGAGCAGAAATGACTCAGAGACAGCTGCATCACCAAGGTCCACCCCAGCAAGGGTGACAGCCCACAAAGATGAGAACCTAGAGCATACTGCACAGCCTGCATGCAGCTCAACAGGTTGGAGAGTGTCCAGGCCAGTAGGTGGTCTGTGCCTCTTCCAGGCAGTGGTCTGATCTTTTCTACAGCTTGGCTTTTCTAAGGAAGACTCTCAGCTGCCTTTGTTGCTTACTCTGGCAGGGAAGGGCCTAATGAGTCTGGTCAGCTTCAGGGACTTCCTAAAGCTATTTTGAGTTGCTTGCCTCCCTGCTCAGAAAGCTTCCCTGCAAGATGCAATGTTTCAGTCTGGAGGAAACTGTGACAGAACACATCAACACTGAGGAAGACTTTGCCAATTCCTTGAGCTGAACCTGGAAAAGGCCTGGCCACTCCCATGGGTCTAAAGCACTGGTGCCCTTCACAGGTCAACAACACATACTCACACAGGGTTTCATCTTCTCTTAAAATTTCACCCAAGGTTTCCTCCACACCCGTGCAAATTGCCAGGCCAAGAGTGTGGATACATATCACAACTACAAAGAGGGAAGAAATGGTGCTAATAACCCCAATTACTACATTTTCTAAACAATCTGAAAGGCAGGCAGGCAGCCCCTGCACCATTGTCTTGAGTACCAGGAGTTTCTTACTGTTCGCCCAACAAAGTACATGCTGCTTTAGCAGAATCAGATTTGAATCCTCTGCCTTCTGGACCTCTGTGGTTTCTCCCCGGAAGTGCCCCCCCCCATCTTTAATAATCACATCCCTCAACTGTGTTTCCTTGCAGATATCAGCTCTCCCCCAGACAAAGTCCAGACTCAGTGTTGCCTGGTTTGGTGTTTAACATTTGTTTGGGATACCCTGCAGGGCTTTTACAAGCCATTTTTACTATTGCTGCACTAGTAAATTATTTATGGTGGGGAACCAAAATCAGAAAATCCTGGCTACTTGAAGACTTTATTAAAAACATCTCCTTCCCCCTTGCAATACAGAGCCTACAAGGCACACTCAGTTCCTCTGCTTACCCAGCCTCTGTGCACAGAGACACTGCCCATGGCTACAGAGCCAGGATCGTGGAAGAAAGAGCTGGAAGCAAATTCTCTAGCACCGGGTTTTACTTCTCTGCTACTGCCCAGTGCCAGGTAGGCACCAGCTGAATGTGAATTCCCAGATCTAACTAGTGATGGTTGGAGGCCAGAGGCCACCCCAATGCAGTGGTCACTTATTCACACAAGAATTAGCTATGGAGAGGATGCTAAGATGATTTGGTAGGGAGATGTTTTAAGATCCAAAACCTGCAAGCCCAAAGACAAGGACTGGATAATTTCTTAGAATGCTGGGAATTGTAGTCCTTGGAAATTAACAAAGCCACATGGGAAAATACAGTGACCCTACGGGTTTGTCCTTGCAGAGATAACCCATGTCTGTGCTACTCAGCTGGGAATACCAAAGAGTATTCCTTACCAAAATCCATCCTCATCAGTATTTCATTAAAGCTTGCTTCAGATTTGGCTCAAAATGGTGGTACTGGTTTTTCCCTTGGGAATCTCGGGATTAACAATGTCTCGGTGAATTAGATGCTTGATGAGCAGTCATGAGGACATGAGCTAAGACCTAGACCTCTAGCATCCATGTAAAAACAAACAAACAAACAAAAAACACAGAACACCTATGTCTTTATCCTAACAATCCAGAGACTCTTTAGCCTGCCAGTCTAGCCAACAGATGAGCTCCAGGGTCAGTACGTCTGTCTGAAAGATAAATTAAATACAGCCAAGAGTGAAAGAGAAAAGACACCTGACATCGACCTCTGTCTTCCACATACACACAAATGCACACACACTCAGAGGAGGGAGACAGACGGGATGACTGTGGGGGTCCAGTTCTGGGCATGGTGGCAAGGCCCTGGCCTGAGGAGTTTATATTCTGCAGAAAGGGGAAGACTGCTCTGAGTTGAGAAGAAAGTAGTCATAAGACCCTGGGTAGTCACAGACTTAACCCTCTCTGAGGACCACGAGCCTTGAAAACCATGGTAACACCCAGATGGGCCACCACCATCCGTTAGGAGAGTTAAGTTCATGATAGGCGTTCTTCCCTTTCTGAAGGGACATGAAACCCAGGAGGACTTTATAGCTAGAAGCCAGAGGACACCAGGAACCTAACTTGAGAAAGGGAAGGAGAGGAGGGCTCCTATGATTTGATTCCACAGGATAAAAGTCCAGCCCTGGGTCACTAGCGCAGGTACAGTGAGCATAGCCAGAGACTCCTTCTTAACCCCGCTGCACTGGTGGCCTTGCTCTGGGCCAGGCCCCTTGACTCCAGCGCTGCTTGCCCCGAAGTGGGACCCAGGACTGTCTCAGCTCTTCACTTCCACACCTTGGGGTCCGGACGTCGCAGGGCCTCCCCCTCTTTCCCCTTCCTTTGCCACCGGGAGAGTCTAGCTTGACAGAACAGGCTCAACGACTGCTGAAGGCGGAAGGGGCCGTCTCTCCCCACCGCTGCCGCTCTGGGTCCCTCCTCCACTTAGCACACCCTGGCGCCTGGAGTCAGTACTGCCAGTGAGGGAGGTTCAGAGACTGCGCCCCTACACCGTCCCAGACACTCTTGCTTCCCCAAGGTTGATCTGCTTGCAGAGACCGGTCCTGACGTTCCCAAACTCCCAGGGACTGACCGTTCCCAACCCTCTGAGCCGGCTTTCAAGCTGCACCTAGCTCGTCTAGGAGCCGAGGGGAGGACGCAGGGCCGAGTACAAGGCCGGGATCTTGGTGGCGCCCGGGAGGGGAGGGGGTGGAGGTGGAGAGAGAGGGTGCAGAGGTGCCCGGGTACCGAGGGTCAGCAGGACACGCGGCTTCAAGTTTCCACGGGCTCAAGGTTGAGCAACTGCGAGCCGAGCAAGAGCCGCGGGCGCCTCGGAAAACAAGGCGAGCCCATAAACAAAGCCACGTGGCCTCCGGGCCCGGGGGGCCGGGCTAAGAGCAGGCGGCTCTTCCGGCAACAAAGAGACGGGGCAGCGGCCCGGGATAAATACTGCGCCCCGACAGCCGCGCAGCATTCCCTGAGTCCGACGCGACAAGCGACCCTCCCCAGAGCCTGCGCCCTCTGTGAGTGCAGGGACCCCCGCCCCCCACACACACTCGCGCCCACCCAGGACCCGCAGCTCTCCACACGAGTTCCCCCACACTTGTCCGGGTCGCCGCCTGCGTTCCCCCAGCATCTTCCCAGCTCGGCGCATCTCCCGGGTCAGGCAGGCCCATCAGTCCGTCCAGTCCGTCGGTCACCTCCGCGCTCGGTACCATGCCGTTCCTCGGGCAGGACTGGCGGTCCCCGGGCCAGAGCTGGGTGAAGACAGCTGACGGCTGGAAGCGCTTCCTGGATGAGAAAAGCGGCAGCTTCGTGAGCGACCTCAGCAGGTGAGGACCATTCGCCAACTTCCAGGCTCTACCAAACCGATCTCAGCTGGTGGAGGATGGGGTTGAAGGGCGCACCGCTTGGGCAGGTGAAGGAGGGCAAGCAGCAGGCCTGGACCAGGATAGAGAGGGGCTTCCAACTGATGGGCCAGGAGTGAGGTGCCCGGATTTCTGCAGAGGTCGTCAGAAGAGAGAAAGATGGGTAATTTAGTGTCTCTTACTGATCAAGGTCAGTGTCTCTCAGAGGAAGGATTCCATACAGAAGCCAGGATCCCTCAATCTGGTAATTGGGGATCGGGTCCCTAAACACTTGAACTCAAGCGCGCAACTCGGGGGACTCTCTGCCTTTAGACACCGAAATTACACAGTTACTGCTTTAATTGGGCGCTGGAGGGTTGGCTGTTTGCCTTTCACTGTCCTGTGACAGGACCCAAAGAGAACAAGCACGGTAGTCACAAGCCGGATGATGGTCGTGGCCCTTGCCCTGAGTGCATGAAGGCTCTTCCCACGCACAGTAGACGGCTGAGTGGGCCGAGAAAAAGTGTAACTGGGAGGGGCATCCGATGGGCGCTCGGACAGCAGCCCTCCTGCGCACAGACTTACCGACTGGGTGGGACGTGGGGAAGCAGGGAGGGGGGAGGGCAGAGTAAGGAGAATGAAACGCTCCCGCTTCTGTTCGTCCTCCGCTGGCCCTCGAGACGCCCTGCTTCAGGAAGGACCAGGCACTTACACCTGTTTCCTGGCCCTTTCCAGATTTGTTACACAGTGAACACACTCCCATCCCTAGTGATGTCTGCCGGCTGCAGAAAGACCACCCAAATTTGAATTCTCACCTGAGAATTCTGTCGTGTGGTGCAAACTCTGAGGTCAGAACAAGTGCCCACTCATAGATGATGAGGTCGAGAATCAATCCCCAAGCTGGACAGCTGACTCCCCGGAACACCTGAGGCAGATGATAGTTGGTTGGGGAGGACTGGTGCAGTTGAGGTCACCCTGGGGTGCCTTCCCCTCCCACTTTCCTTTGACTAACACCCACATACCCCTGCATCCTTAATCTGACTTTTAACAGAGAGTTCTGTGAGTGGGCCGGGGCCCACTGTGTGAGATTTGCCAATGGTTGTTGGGTTAAAGATTTGGTAATTATCAAGAAACTGTGGTTATATGTGCGGCTTGACCTCCCAGGTCTCCCATTTGTTTGTGATTTGTAATGCTTGAATTCCCTTTGTCTCTCTTAATGAGGTGAAACAAATCATTGAGCTCGTGGCTTTCCAGGAGAATCAAATACATTAACCTTTGTGTTAGGCCCTTTAAGGCAGTCCCAGGGGAGTTTAGAACACTATAAAAAATCTTACTCAATAGAAAATCAGATAAATTACCGACTGTTGTCACCTGGCTGATTTCCAGAGAATGAAGGTAACAGTTATACCTAATGCTTTTTCCTCAACTAAGTGAGAAGGGGCCACACAGAAGCTTTCTCCTCCTTGGAACCATTTATCTTAGGAGCCAGACTCTAATATTCCAGCCCTTTGTTTCTGTATGAAAAGCTCAGCTTCACACACACAGAGACACACCCAGTGGCACGGCAGGGGTCCAGCCAGCTGCAACACGGTGACTTGCCCCAATAAAATAGAATAATAGCCCACTGTTTTCAGCAGGCCAGGATCTAAAGTGGAGAGACCCCAGTTCATCTGGGTGTCCACTTCATCCTTGCTCCACGAGGCAGAGAGACAGCTCACTCTCCTTATTCCAAAAGACCTGAAGATGAGTTAAACTTGCCCCTGAAAGCAGGTGGTGGTCGTGGTGCACACCTTTCATTCCAGCACTTGGGAGGCAGAGGCAGGTGGATCTCCTAGTTCGAGGCCAGCCTTGTCTGCAGAGTGAGTTCCAGGACAGCAATGGCTACACAGAGAAACCCTGTCTCAGAAAAAAGCAAAACCACAAACAAAAATGCCCCTGAAGGCTAATGAGGTTGGATCTCTTTATTCCTCCCTGACCCCTTTTTCTCGAACATCACACCTGCGAGCCGGAGCTGTCCCCCTTGGTCATCTTTGTCTCAGCAGCGATCAGTACTGTGACCACCTGCAGCCGTCTGCTGAGTCACAGTTGAGGAATGATTTGGTCATCTGCCTCTCAGCAGAGCAGCTGGCTGTTTGCAGGGTATTTTTCCCCCAGCAACCATAAACAATCCCCCTCCTTCCATAGCAGAGGAGTCTGCCAACTTCTTAAAAGCAGTAGCCTTCTGAGTCTGCGCTTGTGATCTCAAGTATCCCACTGTTTTCCGTCTTGGTTTTCCTGTGATGTAAGGTTTGGGCCCAGTGCCCGGCTGCCCAGGTGAGCTTGAATGCCCTCTCTTGTTCTAAGAAAACAAAAGGCAGGCCCTTTGTAAAAAAGAGGGTGGGTGAAAGTAAAGTGAAGTACCCAGGCACAGGCAGCTTCTCTAATTCCAGGTGCCATCCTGAGAGTTGCCCAGCAAGACTGAAGCATAAAGGTGTACTTTGGCGGGGTTATTGTTTACTGTGAACCATGGTTTGTCTGCCCAGTACACCTGTTCTAGACTCTGCTGGCCATTGACTCTATGGTTTAGGGCCCTGCCCTCCAACAGCCAGATGCCTGAGATCATAGAAGAATTGAGATAAGCATAAACCTGGCCTCTTAAAAAGTTGGAGCTGAGTCTGGCAGTGGTGGTGCTCACCTTTAATCCTAGCTCTTGGGAGGCAGAGGCAGGTGGATCTCCCAGTTGGAAGCCAGCCTGGTCTACAGATCAAGTTCCTGGACAGCCAGGACTCCTATGTAGAGAAACCCTGTCTTTAAAAACAAAACAAAACAAAAAGTTAAAACTGTGAGATAAAGAAGGAGGGCTGGCAAGTGTTCCATTTGTGAGGCAGATTAGAATTTTAAGGAGAGAACACTATATGAGCTGAAGCCATCCAAGAATGCTTCAAGGAAGTGGTGGTTGAGATGCCCCACACTGCCTCCTCCCCAACCACCTCTGCCCCACCCCAACTCCAGGATGAGTAATCTCAACTCTCTTCTCCAAGCCTGCACTTCTGCAGTTAAAAGCTCATTCCCCTATTACGTACTGTGTGTTGCTAAGGCTGGCTCAGGAAGGGGGATGTTGGCCTTGATACCGTGAATAAAAATAATAATAGAGATATTTCTAAGAGCACTAACTCTGTGCGAGGCAGTATTGTAATAAGCTTCATGCACTAGCCTGTTTCCCCAAAGCAATCCAGGAAGCAGCCTTTCCAAGTTTGGCAACCTGGATAGGACTTTGAGCAAAGGAGCATCAAAATCTCACCAGCCATAATCTGTGCTAATGAGCTACTTTGGATCCGGCTTGTTAAAATATTTCTCTTCATTACAAATTAAATAAGAAATAAAGTTCATGTTTCCAATCCCCTCCTTTATCTGCGGCCCAGATGGTCTTACTTATGGTCTTATTTTGAAAACTTTCCACTTCTGCAGTTGCCTTATAGTATTGTGTGTGTGTTTGATGGTAAAGTGGATGTTGCATGGATGGGAAAGGGCTTTTTTCCTTATTCTTGGCCTGAGCCTATAAACATCAAGGTTAGTAAAAAATAGTTATAACAATAGTAGAAGTAGTTACAACAAGAGTCACCAACTATTGTTGCATTTGGTAAGGAGAACAGCCTCCTTGAGATAAGGCTTTGATTATTTTAAATATGTATGTATGTATGTATGTATGTATGTATGTATGTATATTTTATAATTTGTAAAAGGTCATTTTTCTTGTTAAAAATTTGAGTTGTAATTTTCCATTGATGTTTGCATTTCCTGGAAATAGACATACCTGCAGTCTCAAAACAGCCACTGAATATATTATTGCTTAAAAGAAAACACAAGCAGACAACACAAATAAACATCACAGCCTTGCTCCCAAGCCTCCAGAATTCAAACCTTAATACAAAATTAAATGTATAGGGTTTTCCCTGTGCTTCAAACTTTTCTGCACTCTGCTTCATCAACAGTGTGAAATTCTTCTTGAACTGGCTTTTGAAATTAGTTGCTCCAGCCTCAAGCGGTTCACTCTTGTATCTGTGACAAAAGCAAATGCTCAAATCCCCTTGAACATTTTCCATTAGAAAACTATAAGATGGGGCTGGAGAGATGGCTCAGCGGTTAAGAGCACTGTCTGCTCTTCCAAAGGGCCAGGGTTCAATTCCCAGCACCCACATGGCAGCTCACAACTGTCTGTAACCCTAATTCTAAGGGATTTGTCACCTTCACACTAATGCGTATATAATAAAATTAAATTAAAAAAAAAGAAAACTATAAGATGGGCAGTGAACATTTAAACACTCTAGAGAGCCATCACAATCTGTGCTTAAACTGAAAAGCTGCTACAGACCCTTATGTGTGGCTCAAAATAAGATGACTTTGTTTTATGTTTCTCTACATATGGGATTTTTACTGTAGTCTGTGGGGTTGTGTGTATTTCTTTAAAAATAAGCCTTGCTGTGGTATTTTTGTACACAGAATGTTCTAGCTTTGTTTTCTGAAGCTTTGGGACTTCAGGGACCACTCAAGTGACTTTCCATCTTTTCTTTTTCCTCCGCTTTGATTAAAATTCTTTAAGTTGGCCTTGAGAATGGGAGTCCTGCTGTTTGTTCTGCCCCTTTCTTCTTGCTGACTTGAACCAGATCAGCCCTGGTCAGTGACTTTGTCTCCCTCACAGCCATGCAAGCAGACAAACACACACTCCGGAGTTGCACAAAGCCTGACCCAGAACACTCACCCTTGGCTCACTTCAGCAAGTGCCTCCGAGAGAGGTCATTTCTGCAACACACAGTCTGAAGCCTAAAAATATCCTGTTTCCCTGAATGAAAAAGAGAAGGCTAAAGACATTAGGGAGCTCAATAAATGGTATTAGGTGTGGCTTGACTGGTGGTTCGTCAGGTTTCTTCCCTGTGGGTTCTGAAAGCGGCACAGGGTGACATCAACATTTCAGTACGACACTAAGGCAAGTCCTACCTACTGAGACACTTACTGCAATGAAAGAATACTGCACACGGTTTCCAGCCTTCTTTTCCCTGTTATCATCTACACAAAGCAGGAAATAGAGATGAGCATATGTGCTTAAATTCATCACTACCAAAAAAATAAATAAATAAATAAATAAATAAATGAAATCACATTTTAAATTGTGCAGAGGACATCAGGAGATTAAAGGTCTGTTAATGTATTAGTGGACACACACACCTAATTTATTCAGGTTGTTGTAAATCCAGCCTGCCTCTGGATGGTGAAAGAGGCAGAGAATCCACCTTCTTGTTAAATTTTAGCATTTCTTCCCCACCATTTTTGTAGAAGGTATTCAGGGTTTTCTTTAAATCATGAGGCTATCACCCTTAGTCCCATGATACCTTTGTTTGCTGAGGGAAGTAGGCACCTGGCCAAAGCAGGAGCAGCCCCTCCTTCACTGACCTACGAACTGGATAAGCATATTTGATGTCTTCTCAGTGCCTCTAAGTTTCTGGATTATGAATTTTTCTGGTTTCTGTTAGGACCCAACATCTTAACCTCCCAGCCTGAGGCCTGGTGTCATTAGTAAGAAACCTAAACAATTAGCATCGTTTGCAAAATACGTGCTGGAGAGGGAGTTTGCAAGTCAGCATTTTGCAACTGTGATCATATCCTAAAGACACTGCAGCAACCTACTAGCTAAAGGAGCTTGGTTATATGTTTAAAGGATGAGTTGTGTACTGTGTGATTTATAGCTCAGTGAAACTGTTTATAAAGAGCAGGATGTGATAGCACATGCCTAGGATCCAGCATTCTGTACACCCAGTACTCAGGAGGCTGAGGCAGAGGAACAGTATGTTCAAAACTAGCCTGTGCTACATAGTAATTCAAAGCCAACCTAAGATACATAGTAAAATCTTGTTGTAAAAAGAAAGATGCTGGGATTAATGGGGAGACGGAGACAAATGAGTCTATATGAGTTTGAGGCCAGCCTGATGCACATAGTGAAACCCTGTCACAAAAAAGAGAGAAGAGGTTGAGGGTTAGAGAAGATGGAAAAGGAGGATGAGGAGGGCAAGAAGAGGGATGGGAAGGAGGAAAGATGTGGAAAGGGAAGGAAGTAGCCACAGCAGCTTAGAAGAGATGCTCTGCGTCATGCAAAATGCAGGCATTGTGTGGCACAGCGATACCAGCCATTACCCTCCCCTGCTCAGCACTGTTGTTGAAAGTGATATTGTAATGGATTGCATCGCTCTGAGAGAGTATAGTGTTCTATATCAAATTATAATAGAAAGCCCTGTTAGGAGAGGAACACATGCCCCCAGAAGTCTGTGCCTGTGCCTGCATGGACTTTTTTTTTTTTTTTCCCCAGATGATTTTATTGTTTTGTTTTGTCTGGGAAGCATATATGTTTAATAATCCAGTGAGTTATTTATAACTATTTACAGTTACAGTTGTTGCATCCCTCTTCTCTTTTGTTACAGTTACTGCAACAAAGAGGTATACAATAAGGAGAATCTTTTCAACAGCCTGAACTATGATGTTGCAGCCAAGAAGAGAAAGAAAGACATACTGAACAGCAAAACCAAAACTCAGTGTAAGTAATTTGTTTTGAATATAAGAAGAAAGGTGTCTGAAGACCAAACTCGTTTGGTAGAGTGCTGCCTAGGACACACAAAATCCTGGGTTTGTCCCCTTAGTACTGCATAAATTAGGCATGGTAGCTTTGGCCTGTCATCCCAGCAGGAAGATCAGAAGTTCAAAGCTATCATCCTTGCTACATCACAAATCCAAAGCCAGCCTGGAGCTGTGTGAGACCCTGCCTCAAAAGAAAAGGAAAGGCTGTTTGCAGATCCGTATGAATGGTTCTTAAAAAGCAAATTAGTGCCTCATGTAGTAGACAGTTGCCTTGATGCCTCCTATTTGGCTGGGGCTCCTGAGTTTGCACTCTCACAAACTCAGCTATATATTTCACAGCAAAATAAGCATTTTCTTTACTGTTCAGAGCCCTTGCCAGTTGAGTTTATCCCCTGCTTGTCACTTGAATTGGACTTAGGTAAGGTAGTTAGAGTACAGGAATGTAACCAGCTGAATCCATCCCAGCAATGCTGTGGTTTTCCCACTGTGTTTTGAGGCTTTGGAAATAGAATTGTGAGGCTTAGGATGTATCTCAGTGCTTGCCTCGTAGGCACAGAGGCCTGGATTCATCCTCTGTACTGAATGAGCTTGGCATCATGGCTCTCAGAAGGTAGGAGTGGGGAGAATCAGAAATTTTAAGTTGTTCAAGATCAAATCAGCCACACACGCAGTGAGTTAGAGGCCAACCTAGGAAACATAGACTATGTCTCAAAATGCAAAAGGATGGAAAAAGAAAATAGGTGTGTCCCTCTTACACAAATTGTATTCGCATGGTCTAGATATTTATGTATTAGCAGAGAATAAAAAGTTCTATTAAAAGCATGAATTATAAGTTATTTTCATTTAATCCACTTGATCTGTCTATTTCCCTCATGTTACCTATTCTGTGTTTAGTTTTTATGGCCTTGTATAAGTTTTTAGTTTGGCATTTAAAACAAAGGTAAGTACTTGAGTGTTAGGTTAGCTTTGTAATGTGGACATTTGGGACTACTACGTCTGATATCAAAGATTCAGAATGCTTCAGATAAAGCAACTTATAGCTCCAGTATTTAGACACCACAAAAACTGAGTATTTTCATCTCTTAATTGTTAGTGAAGTCTTTTTTTTTTTCTCAAAATATTTTAAACTTTGGAATAATTTTTTTTTTAAAGTGAGTCATGTTTAAAATCTTGGTAGGCCTGCTACAAATTTTTCTGATATAGTCTCTCTCTTTCTTTCTTTCTTTCTTTCTTTCTTTCTTTCTTTCTTTCTTTCTTTCTCTTTCTTTCTTAATTTTTTTCTTTTTTTCTTTTTGCCTCTCTAGATTTTCATCAAGAAAAATGGATCTATGTTCACAAAGGAAGTACTAAGGAGGTAAGCACCCATTGTTTGCTAAAACCACATGCTTAGTAATGCTGTACTTTCCTAAGAGAGAATTGGGCAACAACAGCCCTTTAATTCCACCAGGCAAGAGGGTATCAGCTTTCTGTCCGAGAGAGGGAGAGGAGAGAGCTCTCTTCAGACCAGCTTGGTGAGCAGTTAGCAATGAGAGGACTGATAATAAATCCAGTGAGTGTTTTCAGTACCTGCTCTTTGTGGTGTGGGTGAATACAAGACCTTATGTTAGCCATCTAGCGGCACTTGATAAAACAGGCAATTTTCTCACCAGAACATGAGCTAATATGCTAGAGTGACAGCATTCCTATTTCTTTCAGGGACCTTGGAATACCCCTCATTTCTGTATCACATCAGACCCAGAGAGGGTGGATCAGTGACAAACCCAAATAACCCAGAAACTTAGAACAGGATGAGATGGTATGCCAGAACTGCGTTTTCCCAATTCTCTGTGCACCCATGCTAAAAGCTCAAAGCTCGTTTTCTGCCTCACAAAAGCAAAGCATTACCAGTGGCTGCAGGGCAGTGCCACCGTGGAGGCAGGTAGAACCAGTCCTCTCCCCATGAGCACGTAGCAGACACTATCACAATGCCAAATAGCGGATGCTCAGTTCTCAGTGATACACTGTGCTTGAGCACGCCCAGGCTAGAGAGCCGGAGTGGCGCTAGTCATGAAAAGGGCTTTTCCCCCGGTTAGGCCCCAACTAAAGTAGCTACAGGCTACCACCCACCGTGTGTCTCCTGGGATTTGGAAAGGATAGGCCCGTCCTCTAAGACCGGGCATCCCACTGGTTCAGTGGAGTCCCCTGGACCACCCCTGAGAATAGCTTCTGCATGGCTGGGGTAATGTGTGCCTCTGTCTCGCTCACACACAGCGCCATGGATACTGCACTTTGGGGGAAGCTTTCAACAGACTGGACTTCTCAACTGCCATCTTGGATTCCAGAAGATTCAACTACGTAGTAAGGGTGAGTCCCAAGAGCCCAACTTTATCCAGACTCTTGAGTTGGGTTGTTAACATTCATGTTGTCCCAGGAGAGGGGGATTTTCATAACCCTGCGGGTTTCAGGGCAAATGGAAAACAACTCTCTCCAACCTCTCTTCCCCAAGCCCTAGAACTGGAGGGTCTAGATGGTAGCTGTGCTGTTGTCTCTGAGATGGACCCCTCAGACATGAAGTGCCATAACTCCTCAGTGAATCTGTCCATCAGTAAGTCAATCAGTCACTCCAAGTGAAAATTCACTCCTGCTCTTTCCACACCTGCCCGCTGTCTAAGTGGGAGCAGGTAGCAGGTAGCAAATACCAGTGAAAACCCCAAATTAAACTTGTATGGAAACCTCTGCTTGTTCTCTCCGTCTGGCTTCAGCTGGCTTTGGGGCACATCAGTCATTTAGGCCACAAAATGGTTGAGCACAAAACCCCTCACTGTGGTCTCCCACCCCATACTAAGTCTGACACTGCCATGGGGTCTGTTGCTTTCTATTTAAAACTCTTTTTTGAAACAATCAATGATGTAATATAAGTAAGTTTAACATGACTTTGAAGCTATTGAGGCTATTTGGGTGATTGTTTTTGCACACACACAAACAGTGCTGTAACATTTTCTGTTGATGGTTTGCCCTGGAAAGAAGCAGCTGTTTAGGTTGGGGACTCTGGAGTCAGAGGGAATTTTCTCCTGTGGGCGTTGCTTGGTTTAGCTTTTGTTTTCTTTCTTTGGGTCTCGAAGCTTTTCTGTGCCCATCACACGGTCAGATGACTGCTGAGGCTCAGCCAGAGGGATGACATTCAAGCCCCCTTGAGGCCTGGTTCATTCACCTGTCATCTGGGTAGATGCAGGCTGCCCGTGCAAAGTGACCTGGCGAGAGCCCAGGCCTTCAAGCAACAGGTTGGAAGCCCTGGGCTGAGCCCATGACACATGAGCAACTCTGTCCACTCTCTGGCTGAGTTGTTCTTCAGTCCAAGAGGGATAAAAATAAGAGCCCTCCTTGGGCAAAATGTTCCTGTCCCTCGGTGTGACTCTGCTGGTCTAGAGAGGTCATCTAGTCCTTGCAAGGCCTGCAAACTAGTCTGGAGGGTTGGAAATGGGCCCAGGGATATCTGGAAGCTTCTGTTGCTAAGAATATGAATAGTTTCCATCATCTGTGTTAGAGGAGACACTCGGATCTGATTACGTGTTACAAATCGATCATCACAATGATCTGGTTTTAGATGGCTTTCCTTCCTACCGACTTTGCTTTCCAAAAGAAATAAAGCCGTGGGCCCAGATTATAACAGCAGCATACATTTTCACCTTTGCTCTTTTCAGTGTTCCTATGAAATGTAGGCGCTTATGTAATTTCCATGTAAACCAACAGTACAGCCAGATGACTGACTTATCTGAGGTCACAGGGCTGTGGGAGGAATAAAATGTGGATTTGAAGACTGGATATTCTTAAGAGCTCATATTTGTATCTGCCTCCCCAGGATCTTTGTAAGCAGAGGCTTAAAGTAAATGTTATAAAGTCAGGCCCTTCTTGGTTTTCTCTTCCGGAAGAGGGGTGTCCTGGATATCAAAGGGAAGGTGTGGGAACGTGGTGGTGCTTTTACACATGGCTGAGCTCTGCAGATTAGAGTCCTGCTATGCAGGCTCAACCAGTAATATTTAATATTGCCTGCCTACCAAAACTACCACTGAGTCCCTGCAAAGGGGCCTTGGAGGTTGCTACGTAGGAACCACAGCTGGCTGCCAGGACACCAAGGCCGGAGAATGCAGCAGATCTCAGCATTGGTTGTGCATTGTAATCACAGAGATAGTGGGCACCTGCCCCAAGAGCTGTGGAATTAATTAATTGCAGGTTGTGTGTAGGTAGTGGTGTCTTTTAAATATCTGTCAGGGAAATCCCAGTGAGGTTTAGAGTCTGCAAACTAAGGAAGGAAATTTTTTTCAGGGCCCAAATGTATTTCGCATAATGAAGTTTTAAACAGGATTCACAGCATCAAATTATGACGCTGTGGCCCATCTGTTATGCATGATGGGAAGAGGGGAGCCCCACCCACTTTACAGCTTGAAGTCCAAACCATATTAGCTATGGTACCTTCCATCAATCAATTACTTTGACCCTCTAACCTGTGGAGCTGTGTCAAAGCCTTTCTCCAAGAATGGGACGATGCAGTGTGAAAATGAAGATAAAGGGTGTGGAAAATGTTATGTAAGTTTCAGCGACTGAAGTGTGTACAGCCATCTTTCTTGAGCGATTAAGCTGGAGAGTCTGGTCTTGCAGATGAGGTACAGTGAAAGAGTTGCCTGTTCGCAGTGGGACTTCTGAGGTGCTGAGAATAGCTGGACATGATAGTAAACACCAGTCTTTACCTGAACACCTTCCTTCCTCAGCGAGTTCCTTAAGAAGGCTGCCTTACTGAGAACCAGGGAGAAGAGGCAGCAGGTAAAGGCACTTGCCACACAAACCTGGTAACCGAAGTTCAGTGCCCTGGACCCACATGGTGGAAGGAGAGACTGACTCCACGCAGTGTCCTTGAGAAAAACCCTGCCTCAAAGCAAGATGGGAGGAGGAGAGAAAAGATGTCCTGTGCTCTCCATACACTTGCTGTGGCATATACACATACATGCTCAACACACACATTACGTACACATGAAAGAAAAATAAGTATTTTTTTTAAAATGGACCTCTCCCCAACATAGGTCATTATTCAAGAGGGGAAAAAAAAACTGCATTATTGGGATAAAAATGGAATTCAATTAAAACTCCATAGCACCAATTTAAAAAAATGACCTAGGGCTCTGTGGTATAGAATGCCTACTAGAATGCCTAGTATGTGTAAAACCCTGGATTCTAGCCCCAGCTCAGAAAAAAAAAATTACTGTATATGCATATATGTATATGAGTGTAATTATTCCCCTGACATGGCTGAGTATAGTACAAAGTATAGCTGGAATTGGATTCAGACTTGTATTACTTCAAAGTATGTGGTATTTTCACACCTGCTATTAGCCATGAGGGCGACAAAAGATAAATAGACGTGATACTGCCTTAAGGTCTAAAGTAGGAACCGGGCAAGCTCCTCAGGCCACTCTGGCCTCCTACGTGTGTTTGTATGCACCACAAGCCAGGAATGATTTGTATATTTTTCAAATTTTTTTTAAAATTAGGCAGATATAATAATCAGTAAGACACTAAAATTATGCACAGCCCAAACATCAGTGTCCATGCAGTGCACAGAGCCCAGCTGTGCATATTTGTTCCATCCTGCCTATGGCTCTTTCTGTGCCAAGTGAAGGTTGGACTCAGAGTTGAGTGACAGTTCGTGTGGCCTGTAACCCTGAAACACTTACTCTGCTTTAAAAATGCCTGACCTCTGCTGTGGCGTCCAGCTGGTGGTTTGGGAAATCTGTACTGCAGTTCCCTGAGTGTGAGGCAGAGTTTGAAGGTACCTGGTAGGCGCTAGTGTTTAGGAGGTAACCTGTGAAGACTAGAGGAACAGTAGGTGGCATAGAGGAGGTAGCCTCTTAAGTCTCAGGAGGGAGAATCTTTGTCAGCAGCTTATCCAAAAAAGACTATCAGGAAGGAGAAGGTGGGGGTTGAAAGTGGGGTCTTGAGGAGCAATAAAATTCAAGGAGTCTGGAGAAAGCAGGCAAGGCGCCTGTCTATCCAGAGATTATGGAGTAGAATATTCCATCTGGATAAACGTAGCCGAGCATACAGGCTCAGCTGAGGCTCTTACCATGCAAACCTCTGTCATTCACCCTGTAAAACGGGAGTGATGATCACCCCGCTCTCTCAGAGCTGTAGCTAACAGCATAAATGTGTGAATCTTTCATACCTAAGAAGTGGATGGGTGGTGGTGATGATGCTTCAGTGAGATACGGCTAAACAAGGAGGTAGACTTAAGAAGAGGCTTTGAAGCCAGGCATGGTGGCACATGCCTGTAATCCCAGCACGCTGGGAAGCAGAAGCAAGCAGAGCTCTGTGAGTTTGAGGCCAGCTGGGTGTACAAAGCAAGTCCAGGACAGCCAAGGCTACACAGAAACACCCTCTCTTGAAAAAACTGAAAAGAAAAGAAAAAGAGGTTTTGAGTGTGAGGCTTCTTTATGTGACATCATCTGGAAGACAGGAAGGATCCATAGGGAAGAAAAAGTCAAAGAGTAGAGATTGCTGAAAAGGCATTATTTTAGTAAGTGATGATTTATGATAGCTTCTGACATTAAGTCAGTTAACGGTTATCTCTTTGCAGTTCACTGATCCCAACCCAGTACATCTACTTTGATGAGAACAGCCAGGCCGTTCAGTGGGCAGGAGTGGCAAACTTGAAAAAGCAAATGTCAGGGAGTTGAGTGATTCCTACAAGGTTGCCCAGCCAAGAAGAGACACAGGGCATCTAAACCCAGTCCTCTGTCCGCCATATGCTCAGATGGAGAAATGCAGGATGGAGTCGCCCTTCTTTAATTTAGTGTGTGTGTGTGTGTGTGTGTGTGTGTGTGTGTGTGTGTGTGTGTGTGT